CAAGTGCTAGCAGTAGGTCGCCGCTGTCACCACCAAGTCGCTCAACCACGCAGCCTTCAAGGCGGAACGCCAAGTTCGATTGGTCGGTCATCGAAAATGACGAAACCTGCCTTGAAAATTCATTGACTCCCACCGCATTAGTTTTACCGGCTTGGTCCACATGAACAATTTCATTTGAGCCAAGAAGCAAGGCGCCTCCTACTGGAAGTGGGAGTGCCACGACTTTGAACAGATCACTGGGAAGACGAGATACCGAAAGAAGGGTGGTAGAAGCTCGCTGCTCAAGGTCCAGTGTAAACACAGCGTAGAATATCACGTCCTTTCTTTCGTGAAGAAGGGCAGTAGAAGTTGCGACTTGAGAATATAAAATTCCAAACGTCGGCTCCCTGTATTCATATAGGAATGCAAGACTTATGGGATGTAGCAATGAAGGATCCAAGGCGGTCAATGGCAGGACGAAAGACGAGGAGTAGGGTGTTTGGTGCGCTGTTCCCTCTTTGCTCTTCTCGATCTGCGCTCCTCCACCAGAGTTTTGATTTGGGCGTTCTCCGTCAAGCTCCGAATCATAGTCATCCATCACCAAGTCATCACCCGCCTGATGAAATGGCAAAATCGCAAGGTTGCGAATGCCAAAGTTGTACACTGCGCATCTGCTGCTTGGGTCAACGCTCAGAATGCTCCCGCACCGGCTCAGGTCAGGCACCCAGGGGCTGCGAGTTAGATCATCCCGCTCATAGTAATGGATGGAAATTGTTGAGATTCCGTGACGCTCAGGGTCCCACTCAATTAAGCTGAGCTTGGCATTGCGGACTGCAATCAAGATGGCTTCTCCGCCACCCTTAGTGTTCAAGATTTTGACTCGGTTTAAATCAGTCACAGTTCCAGATAGCGGGTATTCTTTTTCCAGTACTAATTTGGTTTCTGGTTGAGAAAATTGGGAAGCATGAGGCTCTGAGCCTTCCTTCTGTGGTTGAGAGGAGACGACCTTAACGAGAGAGAAAATCTGCAATAGAGAGGTTCTGACAACAATCAAATTGCTGGCGGTTGCTGAGGTGAAAGGAACTGCCAAAGCATGTGTGACCCCCGTGGGGGGTAATAGCTCTGTGTAGCACTGCATTTGGAGACTTTGTCCACTTTCAAAGCTCGCGAAAGGCTTGATACTGCTAGGAAACCGCTAATGAGCTAAATTGTGTTTTTGATATGGTCTGAGATGCACATTGCAATTGCAAACCCAGGGGTGGAAAATCAAGAATGTGAAGGCTTGTAAAAACAAAGAGAGAAAACACAGATAAAAGTTTCAATGATTAACACGAGAAGTGATCAAGATCAATATCAAGATCAATCTCTACCTTGTGCAGTCAAGTTTGTAGCTCCTTTGAAGCGGAACCAAAGCGGAGATGGCAGCGGGTCAGCTGACTGGTCTGGCAGAATCAAGCGGTCAATACATTCTGCCTGATAAATCCTACCGCCATTTGCTGCATATGCCTCAAAATGGTTTAGCGTTGAACAATCAATGACGACACAGGCAATCGCCAGCTTCGGTAGGGAAGATCATTTTTCTTGATTTAATATGCTTTCGAATGTCATTCCTGGCATCATTCCTTCAGTATTTTGTTAGGAGTGTTGATGCAGAACTTATAACCAATGTGCACAGTGTGAACTGATATCCTTCAATATGGCACTCCTTCAGACTTCCCTCATCTGGGTTGTGTATGGGGCGGTGGTAGCTATTCTATTGGCAGTGGCGTCGGTGTTTATTTATGTCTACCAAACCCCTCGGGACCGCTCTCCTTCAGTCACTTTGACTTGCATCATCTCGATTACTAGTCTTCTTGCAACAGTGCTTTTGCTGCCTGTCGATGTCGCTTTGGTATCATCGACTACGTCGTCCAAGTTAGGCCAGCGAAAGGACTGGGCAACACAGGATGTGGTGGACAGAATCACTCATTCCTTGACCATCATCTATTATCTTCTCTACTCCTTGGATGCCCTGCTTTGTCTTCTCGTCATTCCCTTTACCTATTTCTGGTATGAGGAATATGATGAGGTTGCGACCGAGGAAGGGGTCCAAACTTTGGGCCAACGGATTTGGGGTGCACTAAAATACACTCTCTCATTCGTTGCAGTCGTCGTGATCTTGTTCCTTGTTGGTTTCTTCGTCCCATTGTCACAGGGAAAGAATGACATGGATCTGGATTACTTCAGGCGCTTACTGACTGAAAACCGTGAGTATTCGAGTATCTTGGCGTTGAACAAAACTGTGAAGCTGACACAACTCTGAAAAGATGGCGAGCGTGCTCTCACTTTTTCTCTTGGTCTGTTGATGACGATTGGGCTCTGTCTTTATGTCTTATACACATCCGTGGGACTGGCCCTTCTGCCAATCAGCTTGATCAAGACTGCACCCTCAATCTCTAGTGCTACCTTGCGAGCGAGCACTACACAACAACTCGACACAAACCAAGAGCGGCAACGGCAACTCGAGGGACGATGTGCCGGAGACCCCGGGCTTCTGTCCTCCAAAGACCGCCGAGAACTGGATACACTAGTGCGGGAAGAGAGGACCCTGATTCGGCGCCAACGTCTAGCGGAAGAATCCCAAGGCGGAGGCCGCAGCTGGTTGATACGGGCATGGTACAAAATCGGGGCGGTGTTCCGGCCCTTCAAGCTCCTGGGAGGCATCTTGCTGCTATTCATTGCTTTCCTCACGTGGGTATCCATGCTCTTGACGGCGATTGACAAAGCAAAGAACTCGATCTGCAAGCATCGTTGTGGATACATCCTCGCACATGTCAACATCTTTAACCCCGTCAACTGGGCACTTGTTAAATCCGCCAGGTTCTTCCCCATTGATTACGCTATATTTACCGCGCTTGTATTGCTATTTTTCTGCAGTTCTGTGGTTGGAATCGCTGTGGTTGGAATCCGCTTCCTATGGATTAGGATTTTCCAAATCAGAAACGGCCACACATCTCCCCAGGCTCTACTCTTAGCCACCGCCATGTTGATGTTGATCATTTTAGCGCTGAATTATTCCATTTCGATGGTAGTCGCCCCCCAATATTCCACATTCGGCCCACAGACATTCTGTGATCGCGCGCCAGGAACCTTCATCGGAAAGCCAGATTGCTCAAACAGCAAAGAACTTATCAAGCCGTGCTCAGAGTTGGCAAAGAATCCTGCCGCACAGCAAGTTTGCACACCCAGTGTTGTGAGCACCTTCTTGAACCGGGTCACCCTGAACTACCCATTCTTTGGAGTAGTATTCTTTTGGGCTCAGTTCTTCTTCCTAGGTAAGTCGAACTCTTGTGGCGTTCCTATCAGATTTCCATGTTCGAATTGACCTAACGCCAACACCACAGGCTTATATCTAGTTGTCTTCGTTACTTCCCTTCTCCGTTCACCTCGGTTGGACGAAGCCCAACTCGATGAAGACGCAGAAGAAGCCGAGGAGGAAGGCTTATTGGCCAATACCGGCAGACGGTTCAATGCCAGCTGGCAAGACATCACAGGGAGAGCTGCCCGGAGTGAACGCTCTCGGGGCTAATCACTGAGGCCTTACAAATGATGGTGACTAGAGTTCAGAGCCTCATAGTCACCGAGACTAGCAAAGAAATTAACGTGTAACTCTTCTACCTACAATCATGATTTATGATGTTCCCAGCAGTCCCATTTGAATGACTCCAGGTACTTCACAGGTCTTTTTCTTTACTTGTAGTACATCAATTTTCTTATTTTTTGCAAGATTTCTCTCTCTCTCTCTCCTTTTAAGCCATTGTAAAATGAGGAAATACATAATTGATGGCTTTTCGCATATTGATTCAATTACTGCCTTGGAAGATCGATTCTCGCATAGGCTAACATAAACTCATAATTCATAAACATCGTGTCGATCATGTGCTTAAATTTTCAATTGATCGTTTAGCAAGGCGAGAGCATTTTGGAAAGCCTTTACTACTTCCGCATCTATAGACAGATGAGCGACTAGGCCTTGTTTTCACGTCAAAAAAAACAACAGCAGGGGACTTACAATGCTTCTTTTTGTTTTCCACATTTATTTCGGAATTTTGAACATGCTGCATTTGGGTTTTGAACCTGTAGCGGATTAATTATTTGTTTCTTTGATATCTTAGGCCAAAGCTGGATTAGTCGAACCTTTTCAATGCCCTGTTCTCATCTTGCGAAACGGTAGTTTGAGACCATGCTATGAAAACCTACCAGTTACTCAGACACAACATTGCAAGTAGAATTTGCTCCTAAAACTTACTTCAAGAAGCTTGGCTGTTTCAATACGAAGGTTCTCTTCGACTCGGCTGTGTTCCTCCATCGCATCGGCATATTTACTCTGCAATTGCTCCCAGTTGTAGTCCTCAAGTCCTTGTGTCAACCCAGAGACAAGTGGGGTCTCATCATTAATAGGGGCAGATGTAAGAGGTTCGATTGGTAATTGAGGGCTTTTGTTCTCTCGGAAGCTCACACTGCCTGGAGGGCTTTTGCTTCCTTGACTGACGTGGGGTGATATTGTCCCCGGTCGAGGAATTTTGCTGGTTCTGTTTGGTGTTGACTGCATACTGGATTGGCTAGCTTGTTATGAAGATGTATCAGAACAAAGCCATATCAAAACCAAAGTTTCTTTCAAGTAGAAATTGGTGTCGGTTTTGTTTTGATTCGTGGACGTTCCTATCCAAAAATGAGAGAGATAAGATTGCGATAACGGAGTGTCAGGTGACGTCGACAAGTGCATGTGCACATCATCCCGTCTTTGCTTCTCTTCCTTTCTCTAAAGATTGGCTAAAGGTGATGTCTTGAGGCCGGTCATATCCTTTATATCAGCACATTATTTGAGTCATGTGGGATTTGCATCTCTTTGATGACCCCTTCTCACTCCTCTATATGGTTCTCGGCGACTCAAGTAGCTCCCATAATTATCCTGGAACGCAACATGGAAATGCCCCTTACGCTCTCAAAGAACAGCCAAAAATAAAATCGAACTGTCTGCGATGAGCTGTTCCATATGCTCACGTGCCCCTCATTCCCGCCTTTCTTTCCACTGTCCGACGTGTGCACGCAATCAGCTATATCAACTACGAATCGACAGCACCCAAGTTCTTCTGGAGAAAGAGGTCCTTGGAAAGCAAATTGAGGCCGCTGTTACCTGTAGCAGCTCCTGGGATAAACCTTCTCCGCATGGACATGGACAAGAACTGGTCGATACGGACAAAGCCTGCTCTCCCTGCTGGGTCCTCCAAACGATAAGCACTCGACATGCAGTGTCTTTAGCAAAGAGGGATTTGGTTTCCCATCAGCTTGATGCTTTGAAATTAGAGGTTGAAGCCAAAAAGGCCGAGATTGCTAAGCAAAAAGAAGCTCTAGCACGCAGACGGTCAGACGCTGAATCTGCCAAATTTCAACTAGAAGAGCGGGAAAGTGGAATCCTGGCGGGTGTCCAAAATACCAGCAAACGGGTAGAGCACGTTTGGCATTCCCTCCATAGCAAAACGGCAGAGTCACGTATTTATCTTTGTCGAGAGGTCGCCAACCTCTATGGCCTGCGGAAGGCTATGAAGAAGGGCCAAAGTCGGGAGACATATGTGCTTGGATGTGGTTCTATCGTTGACTTGAGGGATATGAATGGCAAGTTTCCACTGTTGCCTCCCAGCAGTTGTTTATCTCTTGGCATACTAACAGGGCGATTACAGGTATTCCACAAGAACAGATATCCACGTCTTTTTCTAACATCGCTCATCTTCTGATCATTGTCTCGCACTATCTCTCCTTGAGACTTCCCGCCGAAATTACGCTGCCTCACAAAAATTATCCTGTGCCTACGATTTACACCCCCTCAGTATCATATCGCTCGCGCGACGGTCATGATGGGGCTGACTACCAGTCTTCGTCGAGTCCAGCTGCATCAAGGACGGTGGACCCACGCACCCACACGCCACGCCCGCGACCTCTCTTCATTGATAAGCCTCTACCCCGGTTAGCGAAGGAGGATCCCGTAACATACGCCTTCTTTCTAGAGGGAGCCGCCCTCCTGGCATGGAATGTTGCATGGTTATGTCGAACTCAAGGGATAAACATCTCGTCGGACTCTTGGGAGGAAGTCTGCGATATTGGGAAGAGCTTGTGGCAACTACTCGTTGCTCCGCCAGCCCATCCTTCAACTCTGATGCGAGCCTTTGCCGGCCGAGACACACAGACACAGATGAAATCTACCAAAGACTCTCCTAGAACCACGATTCAGCGGACAACATCTTTCCCTATGTTGGGTCACTATTCTCATGGCACGGCACATTCTTTCCTGGGAGCATCAGAAGGAGTTGAATTCATGCGAATATGGAAACTTCCAACCCCGACCAAGATTGTGGATAAATTGAAGTCTAATCTTCTCGGGGAAATGGCCAGTGCAGAATGGGAGTTGCTGGAAGAAAAAGAATGGGATGATGCGGCCGTAGATTCCCCTCAGCCATCTGTTTCGCAGAACCCCAAGGTCGCTATCCCCTCTCAATCCGGATCGGTGGAAACAGACAGGACTACTTCAAAGACACGTTCTGTGAGGACTCCAGGTCATGAGGATGGCTCTTCCCCGCGACCCAAAGGTACCAAAGGATGGACTAAGGTAGCAGGTAGAGGACATGGATCAGCTGTCTAGTATTTTTTGTATCATTACTCTGTATATCTCTCACATCACTCACATCTCTCACATCTCTCACATCACACAAATCCCAGCACTTGTATTGCCCACGTGGGAGCCCTGGGGGTCTCCAGTATGTATGACTAAGCGAAAGGGGCCGGAGTCAAGACTCACTTTATCGCGTGTCCCAAAACCACTCTGAGTCTGGCCTTTTTGTTTTTAAATACTTATGCTTGTGGTATTAACTTCCTGATATACGGAGTACCATTCCATGCAATCTCATCTTTGTCTTAACTCAATTACGTAACTACCTATAATCTCTTCAACGTTAGCCTACGAACATCCCCTCTCCAACTGGGGATGTGGTTACAGCTCAACAGATCTGAGACGATAACAAAATGCAGAATGCCCAAGATTGGCAGACTGAAAATGATTTACCCTCAGGTTAGCCATCTTTACAAATTGATCGTGGGCGGTTTCTAACTATGTTTCGAGCAGACTTGAAGCGTGCCCTCTCCGCAATCTCAAAAATCCCCGATGCTCTCTTGCGAGCAGAACTTCTTCGGCGAGATGGAGCTTCGGATGCTACACCGGCATGTGGATCCAAACAACGGGGGGCGTATAACACCCCGTTGCATGTTATGGCACTGTTCCTCATCCTTGGGCTGAGTACATTTGGTATGCACTGGCTTCTCTCGGATCTCCCAAGTTGGCCATTGCTGACGCTGAAACTATAATAGCTTGCTCTTTTCCAGTTCTAGCGCGCCGTTTCCCTCGACTTCCGATCCCCCGTCGGTTCCTCTTTATATCGAGACATTTTGGAACGGGTGTCTTGATTGCGACGGCATTCGTCCATCTGCTCCCCACAGCATTCGTCTCTCTGACGGATCCATGTCTCCCTCGATTTTGGAGTCAAACATATCGTGCCATGCCAGGGTTTGTTGCGATGATATCGGTCTTTGCAGTCGTTATCGTGGAAATGTTCTTTGCGATGAAAGGCGCAAAGCACGTGCACGGAAGCGAATATGATAACCTCATTGGCGAGGTCGGGCATGACTCGAGAAGTGATGGGGAAATTCCAGATGTCGATTACTCAAGGCTAGAGGCCCGGCAGATTTCAGATAATATCAACCTAGATAGCATCGGGCACAACCCCAAGTTGCGGATGACGAGACCTTCCGGCTCCCATGAATCGGACCGTCTTCATTTGGCGGACTCATCGCCGGATAAAGAAGATGATGAGGATGACCTTGAAGGACTGGATGACTACATGGATGACGACGGACTTATCAGTGGGCAGGCATCCCATTCTGCGCAGTCACAGCCTGTCCACCGGCATCGACCCCATATGAGCGAAAGCCACCGAGAGCAGACCGACACAGATGGGCCAATCCAGAATCCGCAACGTCAGCTTCTGCAATGCCTCCTCTTGGAAGCGGGCATTTTGTTTCACAGCATCTTCATCGGCATGGCGCTTAGTGTTGCAACTGGCACCTCTTTCGTCGTCCTGTTAATTGCGATCAGTTTTCATCAGACCTTTGAAGGTTTCGCCCTGGGGTCTCGGATTGCATCGCTCATACCGGATCTCTTCGCTCCCAATTCCATGAAACCATGGCTTATGTCACTAGCATACGGAACGACAACTCCCCTTGGTCAAGCTATTGGATTGATTCTACACAATTTCTACGATCCTGCCAGCGCAACAGGTCTGCTGATGGTTGGCATCACCAATGCAATTAGCAGCGGTCTTCTGCTCTTTGCGGGTTTGGTGGAACTACTCGCCGAGGATTTCTTGAGTGAGTCGAGTTATGAGACCCTCAAGGGCAGACGACGTGTTGAGGCATGTGTGTCTGTTGCCTGTGGTGCTATCCTCATGGCATTCGTCGGAGCCTTTGCTTGAAAACATTAATTATTGTTCCGTAGCATTTCTCGATTATAATAATGTCAGATAGAGTAACGAAGCAAGCGATCTTTCTTTTCTCTAACTGTATACCGAATCAATAATACTCTTCATTTCGGGAATTATATGTGGATATATACTACATTCACGGAGCCAGCACGATGGAAGATCCATGGCCAATGATACAGTCCAGATACACCCGTGACCCAAGAGTCGAAATAGAGATGGCAATAGAATACGAACCGAGTGCCTTGGCATTGAAATGCTAGAAACCCCGTCCTCAACCCTCGACTATGTCTTCATCTTAAGACGAACGCGAAGCGACAAGTGGAAAGAAGGATATAAACACACAAGGATATCTCATTAACTATTCTAGATACCGAGAAAATGGTACTGATACTGCGAATGTTCGTGGCTGCAGGATGGGGTATGTCTGCAGAAAATCACCGAGTACCTTCCCCGTCAAAAATGAACTTGGTATTTCACATGCAAAGATCGAAGGTCGTTTCACATCTCCGTTTTTCATTAACAGAGTTTACTCTTTAAATGGACTCAATCACCAGGGCGCTGGCACCGCCACCACCGTTACAGATGCCGACGCAGCCAAGCTTGCCACCCTTGGCGCTCAAGACACCGAGAAGGGTAGACACAATGCGGGCACCACTGGCACCGAGAGGGTGTCCAATGGCGACCGCACCACCGTGAATGTTGACCTTGTCCTCGGAGAGACCAAGAAGCTTCAGATTGGCAAGAGCCACAACACTGAAGGCCTCGTTGATCTCAAAGGCATCGATGGAGTCCTGGGTCACACCGGCGTGCTTCAGGGCCTTGGGGATAGCCAAAGCAGGAGCAGTGGTGAACTTGCTGGGCTTATGCGCAGCGTCACCCCAACCCAGGATCTTGGCAATAGGCTTGAGGCCGAGCTCCTTCACCTTAGCCTCGGAAACCAAAACAACGGCGGCGGAACCGTCGTTCAGGGGCGAAGAGTTGGGGGCGGTCACGGTTCCAGTGCCGGGAATAAAGGCAGGCTTCATGGCGCGGAGCTTCTCAGGGTTGAGCTATAAGCGGCGAGGGATGGTCAGTCAAAATCACAATAATCTAACGCAGAAAATAAAGATGTCTCACGTTCTTGGGTTCATCATCCTGGGAAATAGTCACACCAGGCTTGCCACGGAAACCGGGGATCTCAATAGGGGCAATCTCGTAGTCGAAAGCACCAGCCTTTTGGGCAGCCTGGGCCTTCTCGTAGCTGCGGATAGCATAGTCATCCTGCTGGGCACGGTTGAAGCCGTGCTCCTCGGCGCACTCCTCGGCCGCAAGACCCATGAGATCCTGCTTGCCGTAGGCATCCATCAAACCATCCTTCTGGATACCGTCAACCAGGGTCTGGCTGCCAAACTTGGTACCGCTGCGAGAGGTTTGCAGGTAGTGAGGGGTGTTTGACATGGACTCAGTTCCACCAGCGACAACAATATCGGCGTTTCCAGTCATGATAGTCTGAGCACCGAGAATGATGGCCTTCAGACCAGAAGCGCAAACCTTGTTGACAGTGGTGCAAACAGTAGAATCGCTAAGACCAGCACCGATGGCACACTGTCTAGCGGGGTTCTGTCCAACACTATAAACGAAAATAGGTTAGCCTCAATTGCGGTATAATATGTAGCAAAGACAACTTACCCAGCAGACAAGACGTTACCGAAGAAGACCTCTTCGACATCAGAGGCATTGATACCCTCAGCCCGCTCAACAGCCGCTACGAATTAATATTAGCATTGAAGATAGGTGTGGTATGGTTTGGGTGGTATTCCGTACCCTTAATAGCATGGGCACCAAGCTGGGGAGCAGTCAAGCTGGAGAGGGAGCTATAGTAACCAACGTCAGATCAGTCTTCAGGGGGATGGGAAGAAGAATGAAGGAATACTCACCCCAGGAAAGAGCCCACGGGAGTACGGGCAGTAGAAACAATGTAAACGGGAGGAAGAGAAGACATTTTGGCTTAAAAAAGGGGGTGGAAATAAAGATGATAGTGAATATACAGAGGTAGAGAGAAGTAGAGAAAGATCAAAGAGATCAAAGAGGGAGGGGCATCTATAAGAGTAAATTGTATGGTGGGGAGTGAGGAGCTGTACGGTGTAGGCACGAGTACTCCGAAAAAACGCTCGGACCAAGTGAAAGTTGAGATCCTCAACTTCTCCGGCATCACGCGTTTGGAGCTACGGTCCCTCTTTTTTTTTAAAAAACCTCCACACGTTCACGTTCTCTATTCATTATGGACGACCTCTATGATGAGTATGTTTTTTTCCCCCTTCACTCTCTAAATTCACGACCTTACTAATTGTGCCTAGGTTCGGTAACTACATTGGCGATGCGGAATCCGACGAGGAGCATCATGAAGATGTCCAGCCTCAAGCCTTCAAGTTCGATGAGGCATTCGATGATGAAGAAGAAGAGGAAGTTAATGATCAACAATTGATGGAAGTTGATGGTATGTCAACATGTCTTGTTCACAGCCTGCAATCTCACTAATTTCGCGTCTTCTTCCGCAGAGGGTCCTTCAAATGCGGTCATATTGCATGAAGACAAGCAATATTACCCTAGCGCACAACAAGTCTATGGCGAGGATGTCGAAACTATGGTCCAGGAGGAAGATGCCCAGCCATTATCAGAGCCCATCATTGCCCCCGTCCAGCAGAAGAAATTTGCGATTGCAGAGACCGAACTCCCACCCGTACACTTCTCTCGGGAGTTCATGTCTGATCTCCTGAACTTTCCAGAACAGACAAGGAACGTTGCAATCGTTGGTCACCTGCACCATGGAAAGACTGCTTTCATGGATATGCTGGTCAAACAGACACACGACCTAACGGAACGGCTGGAGAAGCGCACAGGACGGAAGAGAGAAGAACAACTGCGATACACTGATGTTCATTTCCTAGAGAGAGAGCGCGGTCTTTCAATCAAGTCGGCACCGATGAGTCTCGTTCTCCCAAGCACCAAAGGCAAATCTCACCTGCTCAACCTCCTTGATACCCCCGGGCATGTGAATTTCGTCGATGAGGTGGCTGCCTCTATCCGCCTAGCCGATGGCGTGGTACTGGTTGTGGATGTTGTTGAAGGT